GGTGAGTTCTCACCCTGGGCCATTGTTGCAGTTGCTTGGCTTATGTTAACTCGTTACTGCAAGCTTCATCTCACGAAATGGGCCCCGTTGTCGGCCCTGTTTTACGTCAGAGGAGGTTGAGGCTTGGAGAGGTTTGCACGCTGCTCTGGGTCACCGCTGAGCGAGAGGCCAGGATTAAACAAGGCCGGCGGCAGGGCCCCCGAGCCCACGCTCTCAGCTGCTGGTCTGTGTCACTCCTCACTGGCAGTTTATGGTAGCATTATTCATGATGGTGAAAAACAGGAAACGACTCCCCCATCCAAACCTGGGGAAATAATTCTTAAGAAGTCATAGTACAGCAGTATAAACCAGTGATTAAAAATGAGGATGTAAATCCTTCTTTGCTGACGTTAAATTGTGGAGTGTGAAACAAACGTTGCAGAGCAGTTGTGTAATATCCTGATTTTATAAAATGTGAAGCAGATAGTATGTAATAGCAGACATATTTTTCTGGGTAAAGACTGGAAGGGGGCACACACATTAAAATGTTAGCAGTGATGAGATTGCAGGGAACTTAAAAAGAAAAGAAGACTTTATTACGGGGATATTTAAACATATACACCAGTAAACTGAATAACGTAGTGAACCATCACGTGCAGTTGTCCCTCAGTGTCCTTGGAGGACTGCTTCCGGGACCCCGCGGGTACCAACATCCCAGGATGCTCAAGTTCCGTGTGTAAAAGGCTGTAATACTTGCATGTAGCCACGCACGTCCTCCCGTATACTTCACATCACCTCCAGTTTACATGTGATACCTAAGACTACGTAAATGCTATAGTTCTAAATGCTATTCAGATAGTTACCAGTGTGGCAAATTCTAGTTTTGCTCTTTGGAACTTTCTGGAATGTTTTTTCCCTGACTGTTCTCAGTCTGCAGTGCATTGAATCCTCAGATACAGAACCTGGGGAGATGGAGGGCAGACTGTCCTCATGGCCACCTGGTTTCATCTCTGGCCCACATTCCCCCCCGCCCCCAGCCACGACTTTCCACCTGTATTATTTTGAAGAGAACCCCAGATACCATATCGTCTGTAAATATTTTCAGTCTGTAATCTTCTTTAGCTTAATGACAATACATGATCACATCAATAGTCACAATGCTGTTACATATTAACATCATCAAATATCTAGCGTCAGATTTTCAGGTAGCTCATTATTGTCAAGCATGGTTTCTGTGTTTGCGTTTCACAGTTTGTTTGGATCTGGATACAAATAAGCTCCACACAGGGATAGAATTAGCTGGCGTGTCTTTTCGCCTCATAAGGAGTCAGTTCCCTCTCCATCTTTCTCCCTTTTCCCTCCATGCAGTTTCTTCATTCAAGCAGTTTTGTCATTGTCCTACAGAGTTTTAACACAACGTGGATGTTCCTGAGTTCCATTTAATTGCTGAGTGGTGCCCCACTGCGTAAAAATCTGTCAATTCGTTCCCAGAAACCTTTGGGTTGTTATCAGGTTTTGGCAATTGTGGGCAAGGCTGCTGTGAGCACCCACGCACAAGTCTTTGTGGGTGAATACCCAGGGGCGCGTGTCTGGCTTACCTAGGAGGCAGTGGTTCGCTGTCCAAGGGGCGGCCGAACCACTCCCCGAGGTGGCCTCAGCACCAGTGGATGAAGCTCCAGTAGCCCCGCATCCTCACCAGCACGGGAACGGCCCGCTGATAGATTCCAGTCGTTCAAACGGGAGTATGGTGGTCTCTCCTGTGTATTTTGTTTTTTGGGGTTTTTTTGGTAGAGGGAGGTAATTAGGTTTATCTATTTTAATTTTTTTTAGTGGAGGTATGGGGGATTGAATCTGGGGCCTCGGGCATGCTAAGCACGTGCGCTACCACTGAGCTACACCCTCCGCCTCGCCCTGTGGTCTTAAGCCCGCCTTCCTA